ATATTTTTTTCATTAGAGATTATTACTTTGGCTTTTGGTATAGTTGGTATGATGTGAGCTTGTAATTATTTGCTCATGGTATAACTGAGATCAATCATAGTAAAAGTAGTGATGATGATCGCCGGGTGTGGTGGCGCATGCCTGTAATCCCAGCACTTGGGAGGCTGAAGTAGAGAATCCCCGAAAGTTTGAAGCCAGCCTGGGCTACATAGTGAGTTCAGGACAAGCCTGAACTACAAAGTGAGACCCTGTCTCAAAACAAAACACAAACAAAAAAAGTAGAGATGATGGTTAACTTTTATCCATTCAACCAGGCATGGTGGTAGTGCATGTCTGTAATCCCAGCACTTGGGAGGCTGAGGCAGAAAGATCCCAAGTTCAAGCCCAGCCTGGATGACTTAGCAAGACACAGTCTTAAAATACAAAATGGGGGACATTCAATGGGTAGATTCTGTGTTCAAATACCCAGTACCACAAAATAACAAAACATTTCAACCAGTTCCACAAATATTGTATTGAATGCTTCCTATCTGCTGTGTATTGTTCTGTGCTGTGAGAATACAACATAAACAAATAGGAAAAAGTTCCTGTTCTTGTCTTGTGGCTGGAACCATCATCTTCCAATAACCCATCTTCCATTAATCCACCAAAATGATGAACACAAAGGAAAAGAGGAAAGGGAGCTGGAATATGTCCTCTAGGCCTTTTAGAAAACCTGGAATTAGACCTTTGGTCACATACATGTGAATCTGTAGGAAAGGTGATATTGTAGATATTAAGGGAATGGGTGCTGTTCTGAAAGGAATATCTCAGAAATTTTACAGTGGAAAAATTGGAAGAGTCTACACTGGTTTACCCAGCACACAGTCTTTATTGTTGTAAACAAACAAGTTCCTTAACTTGTATCTTGCCAGGAGAATTGTGTGACTATTGAGCATATAAAGTACTCTAAGAGCAGAGATAACTTCTTGAAATGTGTGCAGAAAAATAATCAGAAAAAGAAGGAAGCCAAGGCAGGCACAGTGGTGCATGCCTATGATCCATGCTACTCAGGAAGCTGAGGCAGGAAGATAGAAAGTTCAAGCCTAGCTGGGCCACTTGGTGAGACTCAAAGTTCAAAAAGGGCTGAGGATGTAGCTCAGTAGTAGAGCGCTTACCTAGCATTTATGAAGCCCTGGATTCAATCATCAGTACCAAAAAAAGAAAGAGAAAAACGCCAAAGACAAAGGCACCTGGGTTCAACTGAAGCACCAGCCCACTCTACCTAGAAAAGCACACCTTGTTAGAACCAAAGGAAAGGATTCTGAACTGTTGGAACCTGTGCCTTATGAATTCATGGCATAATAGGTTAGAAGGAGAAAAAAAAAAAGACCTCTAGGCTATTTTTTTAAGGTCATACTCTTGAGGAGCATATGTATAATTTTTTTTTGTTCTTCCCCAGTACTAGGGATTGAATTTAGGACCTTACACATGCCAGGCAGGTTCGGTGTCACTGAGCTACATCCCCGGCCTCTAGGAGCTTATATTCTAATGGAGAAGACCAAAACTAGATAAAGAAAGCCAGGTGTGGTTCCTCACACCTGTAATGCCAGCACATGGGAGGCTTAGGCTAGAGGATCATGAGTTCAAGGACAGCCTGGACTACACAGTGAGCTCCTATCTCAAAAATAAACAGGCAAGCATGCTAACAACATTGTGCATTAGTTGGTGAAGAAAAATAAAACATCATATGATCTTGTAGGTAGTCATAGCACTATAGCATTTATTCTGGTTAGATGGGTTTTGAATAGCCACATCGTATGACTTAGATTTTAATTTTTTAAATTTTTTTGGTACTGGGGATCAAACTCGGGTCCTTGTGCTTGCGCAGCAGGTGGCAAAACCATTGAGCTAACTCCCCGGCCCATGACTTAGATTTTTAATGGATTGCTGTGGCAGCTGTGTTGAAAATAGACCCAGTGAGTAAAGATGAAAACCAAGGAGATCAATTAGAAAGTATATGTAATAATTCAAGTGAGAAGGGATGGTGGCTTAGGTTTGTATAGTATAAGTAATAGTGATTAGAAGAGATGAGATTCTACAAGTTTGTTGTTCTCACATTGGAGGGAGGGAGAGAGAGAAAATGAACCTTGTGCATGCTAAGTATACCTTCTACCACTTGAGCTACATGCCAGCCCCATATTCTAAAATACTGGGGGTTTTTTTTGGTACCGGGGATCGAACTTGGGCCCTTGCGCTTGTGAGGCAGGCGGCGGAACCACTGAGCTAAATCCCCAGCCTAAAATACTGTATTCTGAAGGTAGTGTCAAGATTTGCTAATGGATTGAATATGGAGTAATGTGAATGAAAGTAGTCCTGATTAATTATAGGGCTTTGTTCTGAGCAAGTGAGAAAAAAAGAGTTGTGTTTTATCAGATGGGCAGAACTATGTGAGGAGGTAGCAGGGATGGTAGATCAGGACACCTGTGTGTTTTTGGAGATGCTCAGGTTGTGACGTCTATTTGATATGCTACTGGCGATGTTGAGCAAGAGGCTAAATATATGAAGTTCGATTCAGGGGACAGGTCCATGCTGAAATGGACATAGAGAGTGGTGAGCATGTTGGCAGGCAAAAGGCACGAGACTGGATGAAAGCCACATGGGAAGAAAGTTAGAGAAAATAGGACTCCAAGGTTGAGCCCATTAAAGTTGGAGATGAGGAAGTATTAGGAAGGGTGGCATGGAGAGGCCACCGAAGGAGAAAACCAGAAGAGAGTGCCCTGGAAGCACAGGAACAAAGATGTTTGAAGTTGGGAAATGTATCATTTCATGTTCAAGGAACATTGACTTTTGCATAGTGGAGCTCACTGGGGACCTTGATAAAAATAATTTTGGTGGAGGAAAAGCCCTTAGAAGAGTTGTGTCTAACTCACAGCCCTGGCCAGCTAAGAATGCAGCCTCACAGGATCATAAATTTTTTGCATTATGATGTGATTTTAGCAGTCTTTTGCATGGCTCGATTTCACAGGCCTTGAACAAGAACTGTGGTAGGTGACAACAGAATGCTGTATGGGGAAGGGCTCAGTGCAGTGGTAACTTGGGCGAAGGCTTGGGACACACACAGTTCACTTGAAACCTGTGTGTATCAGACAGTTTCGCGAGCTGCTGCAACTTGGCAAGTACAACACAGCGGTTACCAATGGTAGTATCTCAACTTACTTAAACATCTGTGTGCCTGTGAGGACAGGTGTTTATTGTTATGTTTGTTTGTTTGTTTTGGACCGGGGATCGAACTCAGGTCCTTGAGAGTGCAAGGCAGGCAGTGGAACCACTGAGCTAAATCCCCAGCCCTGGTGTTTATTGTTATTAAGCAGACAATTCCTCTCCACTCAGTGCTGCCAGGCAGGTCAAAAGGTTCTAAAAGAGAAAGGGGACAAGTAACTCCTTAAAAAGAGTTGATGCCATGGGAAACAGAGAAATGGAATGTTTAAAATTGGAGGAAGTGAGGTCAAGAAAGCTTTGTTTGTTTGTGATACTAGAGATTGAACCCAGGACCTTCATATTGAGCTATAGCCCCAGATCTTTTTTATTTTGATACAGATTCTCATTAAGTCACAGACTTGCCCAGGCTAGGCTCAAACTTGAAATCCTCCTGCCTCAGCCTCCCAGAGTGCTAGGATTACAGGTGTGTGCAACCACACCCAGCTAAAAAAGTTTAATATTTTAAGAAGAGAAAAATTACAGAGTATTTGTATGCTGAAGAGAAGAATCCAGTAAAGGAGAAAATTGGTTACTAAGGAGAATGAGAAAACTCTGAAAGGATGTCCCCATGAGATCAGAATAAGTAGCCTCTTGTGGGAAATATGCTTATCTTTGCTTAATGCAACCACTTTTTGAGGTAAGAGTTTTTAATTATTACCATAATTTTACATATGGAAGAACAGGTATGTGAAAGATTTAATAACTTGTCCAAGATCATGCAGCTTCACCACTTAATCATTGTGACAAGGGGCAGTCACTTGCCCATCCTGAATTTTCCTTCCTGGGATTAAACCCAGGACTTCTTGCTAGGCAAGTTCAATTTTTTTTTTTTTTTTGAGAATAATAATCATTGCCCCGTTTGTCTCACAAGGGTATGAAGATTAAGTGAAAATAGTGGTAAAAATGTCATAAAATGTTATAAAATTCTTTATGGTTATAATTTAAGAATGTAAGATGAGAAATTACCCTTCTCTAATAGGAAAAAATGTATAGTTTTGTTTTATTTTTGGTTTTCTTTGTGGTACTTGTTATGGGACCCAGGCCCTTGTTCATGCTATACACGTGCTCTACCACTGAGCTGCATTTTCAGCTCTTTAAATAGAAAAAAAAGTTTTAAATTTTAAGACAGTCTAAGTTGCCCAGGCTGGCCTTGAACTCATGATCCTCCTGCCTCAGCCTCCTAAGTGCTGGCATTGCACTGTGTATCACCACTTCCAGGCAAGAATGTGTAGTTCTTAAGTCAGCTTTTTCAAAGTGGGAATATATGATACTAGTATATTTCTCCATCGATCTTTTTTAAGTTGTATGATTTGGTTTGTAAACGTGATATTTCCACAGATTGCATTTGTGGTAATATTAATGCATTAACTAGTTTGGGGTATATTTTGCCTCTCTTAACGTTGGTAAGACAAAGCACTTACTCACTCCAACATTCAAAAATCTCACACATCCAGATATGTCCACATCTGAAACTGTATACTTGTTTCCTTGTCGCTGCATTTATTTCAGAGTCTGCATATGGTGTGATCTGGCATCTGTGCAATATGAGAGAAAGGATTTTATTCTAAAAGAAACTATATCAGTATCTTTTTTGGAATGAGACTATTTTAGGACATCCTCCCATGTACACTGCTTGGGAACTCTTTGGAATGAAACAAGACAGTGTGCAGAATAATAAGTAAGGATTAGACAAAGAGATCAATCTATTCACTTGAGCATCATCCATCTTAAATGTAGTGGTCTTTAGATTTTTGAATTTTATTCTCTTTTCCAAAACCAGTACATTTAAGAAAGGATATTGATTTGATAACAAACATTTTTTGATGGTGAACATCCATTGAGAAATTTGGATATCTGAAACATATCTTTCTTTTCTTTTCTTGTCTTTCTTTCTTTCTTTCTTTCTCCCCCCCCCCCTTCTTTCTTGTTTGTTTTGAGACAGTCTTGCTATGTAGTTCAGACTGGCCTTAAACTCACTATGTAGCCCAGGCTGGTCTCAAACTCTTGGGAATCCTCCTGCCTTAGCCTCCTGGTTGCTGGGATTACAGACGTGAGTCACACACGCCTGGCTAAAATAGATTCTTCTAAAGAGGCTGTTTATTTTTGTATTTTTATTTTTTGAGGCTGTTTATTATAGGAGAGGAGTTTGAGAAGATGTCAATAATTATATGCTCACTCTTCTTTTACTGCCCCCTTCGTTATTATCCCTCTTTTTTTTGGTTTGTTTTGGTAGCAGGGATCAAACTCAGGACCTTGTGTTTGTGAGGCAGGCGGTGGCACCACTGAGCTAAATCCCCGGCCCCTGGGCTCCAACTTTTGATCCTCCTGCCTCAGCCTCCAGAGTGCTGGGATTGCAGATGTGAATTTAGATCCCTGAGGTACAGTGACACTGTTTACCGCTTCTTAATGCTAACTGCCACTGTCTCTATTACTGTTAAGGGAGGTAGTAGATACAATGGTGCGGCACTTCAAGATGCAAATATTTGGTGATCGACAGCCTGGCTATGATGGCAAAAGAAATATGTACACAGCACACCCACTGCCAATCGGACGTGATAGGGTAAGTGTCGACAGCAAGAAGTACTTAGGTCAGTTATTAATCATTACATATGACAAAAAAGTTTTCCTTTCTAGTCACGCTTCAGTTCTTGGAGTTGTTTTTCATAGTAATAATAGATTTGTTATTCTGTCCATATTCTTTGGTCTCTTAGTTAACTGATAATTGAACATGAGATAAGAATTAGAATTTAGGTTGATTGTGTCATCTTTATGTATATCTCAAAATCACTTCAATAAAGTACTACCTGAATCTGAACAGTGGAGGTTTGTTTTTTTTTTGGTACCAGGAATCAAACTCAGGACGTTAAGCTTGCAAGGCTAAATCCCCAGCCTTATAATTCAGATTTATAAATAAATTATAGTTCAGAATTATATTCTGAATTATAATTCAGAAAACAAATTTATAAGGCACAGTACTCTTTTAAACATTTATTTATAAAATTTTCAAAAGGGCCAGGGACTTAGCTCAGTGGTCCTGGCGCCTGCCTCGCAAGCACAAGGTCCCAAGTTCAATCCCTGGTACCAAAAAAAAATTTTTTTTTAAAAATAGGGCTGGAGGGCCAGGGATTTAGCTCAGTGGTTCCAGCTCCTGCCTTGCAAGCTCAAGGTCCTGAGTTCAATCCCCAGTACCAAAAAAAATAGGGCTGGGGTTCCAATTCAGTGGTAGAGCACTTACCTACTATGCACAAGTCTGTGGGTTCAATCCCAGGAC